AAATGAGCTCTTAATATTTTATTGCATCGACGGCCAACGGCCGCCTGTGCTGACTTAAAACCCTGGATCCGCCCCTGATTATAGTGCCAATATTTTTTGGAAAATACCGTGCAAGCACTCGTTTTTTGCCTGGTTTCCACCACCGCGACTCTCATTCCCCGCCAGCCCCAAATCCTAGTACTATTACCCACCACCACCACCATGATTGAGGGACAGACATTCTCCCCTCCAAAACGCCCTTCCCATGCAATCACCACCATGATCAAGGAATCCACTCATTCTCAACCTACCACTAGATCTGGTGAATCCATGACTGGAACGACTAATGGAGAGTTGCGCTCTACAGCCACCCCATGAAAATGTGCCAGATTTCTCCTTGCATTAAGGATCCATCAATGATGTTTAATCATCCTAGACTTGCATTCAGGCGTTCCCGTTGTGGGGCTTGGGAGTGGGGGGATTTTTTACATCAATCCTGTTAGAATTAATCTCCTTGTACAAGAAAAATGTACGAGAAATTTTTACATATGTACAGGTGGCAACATTACATTGTTTGGTTGAACTGTGTTTTTTGTTAAACATCCAATCAAATCTTGACAGCTGACAATTTGTCAAAAAAAATAAAAATCAACAAGTTATGCACATATAGTAGTACTGAAACATAATTAAGCTCCTTGTACAAGAAAAATGCAGTGTTGCCACTTGTATATCTTTAAAAATCCCTGTAAATCCCCCCTATAAAAGGAGCTTAAGTCTGTTTACATAGCCTAAGTTTGATTCTGTTTATTTCAAAACTCTTTATTTCTCATATTCATTTTCAAATTTATTTGCAATCACACATTAACGCAATAAAATATTTTGCAAGTAAACCCAAAACTTTTTCCTACTTTTTGATCATTCATTCTCCAAAAAAATCACTATTCAAAACATCATTTTCCCGTTATCTCTCTTTATAATGGCCATCAAACATGGGAATAGTATTTTTCCAAAAAAACAAAAAAGCCTAAAATTGTAATATAAGATGTAATTTTCCTTTACTTTTTCTCTGTTTAATTAGTACGGGCACTTAGCCTTTTTTCTCTATTCTTCCAACTTCTCATCCTCATCTTCCCAGTGCTCATTATCCTCAGCTTCTTCATTATCACTTTCAAAAGGTTGAGATAGCAGGTTTTCAAGTTCATTACCAAAGTCATCATCGTGTTCCCGTCCTTCAAACTTCTCGTTGCCCTCTCGACTGTCAGTATATTCAAAGACTTCATTTTGGTTGATTTTCTGGTTAGAACATTGCTGTTCAAAGAATTCAGCCTCTTTATTCTGTGAAGGTTCTGCAGCAGGTCGATAACCAAACCCTGTTTGCTGATAGAATGTTTCTTTCTGAAAATCCCATTCTACTGCAATATTCTCCATCGTGTCTCCAATCGATATCTTGTTTTCTGCTATGTGATTTACATTTTGTACGTCTATCGCCTTGCTGGCCTCTTTAACAGAAAGGAAATAGTAGTTGATATCAACATACAATACAGTTTGATTTACAAATGGTAGCGACCCATTGAATTTTGAAAAATATGGAAGAATAAAAAGAATAAGAAAGTCAGCCGCAGGTTATTTGGACATGAATGCTATTCAATGAGTCGTCGTGGTAGGGCCAAGTATAATTGACATAATTGCCAGAGAGAATGGAGAGGGCGAAAATGAGTAACGAAAACAACACCCAACAAGGATCATATAAAAAGCATTTACAGTTAATCAAAATCTAAGGTTGGTGAAGATCCTCACATCATGATTTTCTCATCTGTAAAAGGTAAAATTTCTGCAACAGGAGTTTTACCTGTAGTGGGATTCTACTCTATATCATCAAGGGAGCAACTCGGCAAAACAGATTACTCACACATCTAAGGCACAAGAATATGTAAAATTTAAATTAAACCTCACTAGTAATTTGCAAAAAAGATAGTATGGTACCTCTGATGGATAGATCCTTGGCGACTGCATATTCTGCTGCTTTTTTCTTGATCAAATCAACATCAAGTTCCCTTCCCTTTGGTAAGATGAAAAAATAAATAAATGCATATTTCCTCTAGAAGATTAAAATGAATTGTGTAAATCTAAGGACAATATTTTAAAACATTCCAACCAAGGCAAAATAGCTCGATGGCCCTCTGACAGGTTCAATTATATAAAGTATTCCATTCAGTTAAGTAACCTTCATTCATTTAAAAAAAAATTAAAAAAATTGATGCTCTGGATATGTCGAATGAGTTGTATTGCACCATTTTATAGAGTTAAAGTACTCCAAAGTGAAAAGAGGGAAAACGTACTTTGCCACATCAAAAGAATTAAGAGTTGAATAATACATCTACATGCCCAAATTGCCACGCTCTTAAATTTTTTCATACCAGGGGCTTGCATTTATACACTTGAATCCCCCAGATTACTCGTGTTTAAGGTTTTAGCTCAAAATTGGTCTCTAACACATATTACTACCTGATTTTCTCAGGTAATTCCTGAGGATAACTCTCCTAAAAGAATCCATACCTACAGGTAGGGCTGGGCAAAATGTCCGAACCGAACCAAACCGAATCGAGCGGGTTTTTTTAAATGAAATACCCGAACGGGTATCCGAATCGAGAACCGAATGGTTTGGTTCGTTTCTCGGTTCTAGACCTAGAACCGAAGAATCGAATAAGAAGCGAATTTTTTTTGATAAATCAATTTATTTTAACTTTTCTAAACAAATTAACAATTTTT